TTATTATCCATCTCCCCCTAATCTATGAGGTTCTGGAAAACTTCAGAGTCCCTAGAAGTCCACTGGGTAGAATCTCTACTGCCTCAAACCATATTGTCAAATATGTAGACAAAGCAATATAATTCAATAACAGAATCCATCAGCACCACAGTGGAAGAAATGACAGAGAAAGAGTTTAGAATATTCATTGGCCAGGTAAAAGACTATGTAAGGTAGAAAATGCAGGAAGCAAAAGATCACTTCAATAAAGAAATAGAGATTTTAAAAAAACACACATCTTCAACATGAAGGAATCAATAAACCAAATTAAAAATTTATTGGAAGTTGGAAGACATCACCAAAACAATAGATCAATTGGAAGACAGAGTTTCAGGCAATGAAAACAAAATATATATTCTAGAACATAAAGTTTACCATGAAGACAAGATGTTAAGAAACCATGAACAAAACTTCCAAGAAATATGGGATAACATAAAAAGGTCAAACTTAAGATTTATTGGGCTAGAAGAAGACTCAGAGATACTATCCAAAGAAATGCATAATTTTTTCAGTGAAATAATATATGAAAATTTCCCAAACCTTAAGAAAAAAATGGAAAATCAAACACAGGAGGCATATAGGACCCCAAATAATCAAAGTTACAACAGACCCATACCAAGGCACATTATTGTGAAAATGTCCACCATACAGAATAAGGTCAGAATTTTAAAGGGTGTCACGACAGATTACTTCTATAAGGAAACCAATCCAGATCTCAGCTATTTCTCAACCCAAACCTTAAAGCTAGGAGGCCATGGAATAACATACACCAAGCTCTGCAAGAAAATGGATGCCAACCAAGAATCCTATACCCTGAAAAATAAAGATTTAGATTTTATGATAAAATAGAAACCTTCTAAGATAAATGAAAGATAAAAGAATTCACAACTAGAAAGCCTGCACTACAGAACATTCTCAGCAAAATATTTCATGAAGAAGAAATGAAAAATAAGAGTGAAAAACAGCAAAGGGAGGATCTACACTAAAGGAATAGTCAAACAAAGGAAAAAACTAATTCAAATTTAAAACCAGAAATAAACCAAAATGACAGAGAATAAAAATCATTTCTCAGTTTACTGAATGTAAATGGCCTAAACTCATCAATCAAAAGACATATAATGGCATACTGGATTAAAAAACAAGACCCAAAAATATACTGACTCCAACAGACTCACCTCATAGGAAAAGAAACCACAGACTGGAAGTAAAAGAATTGAAAAAAAATTTATCAATCACATAGATCTCATAAACAAATAGGGATTTCTATCCATCAGATAAAGTAGATTTCAAGTCAAAATTAATCAGAAGGGATCAAGAAGGCCATTTCATACTGTACAAGGAAACTATACTTCAACAAGATATAATAATCTTAAATATATATGTACCAAACAGCGGAACATCTGTTCCACTGTCAAATAAAAAAAATAATAATAATAAACCTTCACAAGTTCAAGAATCAAATGGACCACAACACAATAATACTGGGTGACTTTAACACATCTCTCTCACTACTCAACAGATCTTCCAAAGAAAACCTAAATAAAGAAAGTATGAACTAAAAATAAAAAGTCACCAAATAATAACCTAATTTTACATCTCAAAAATTAGGTTATTATATATGGAAAAATAAGAACAAATCAACACCAAAAAGCAGTAGAAGACAGGAAATTGGAACTGAAATTAATTAAATTGGAACAAAAAAATGTAAAAATCAACAAAACAAAAAGCTGTTTTGTTAAAAAAATAAAGCAAATTGACAAAACCTTAACCAAGCTAACAGAAAGAAAGAGAAAGAAATCTCAAATTACTAAAATTTGTGATGAAAAAGGAAACATCACAGACACCACTGAAATACAAATAATGATCAGAAACTAATCTGAATATCTATACTCCAATAAATAGAAAAATATGAAGACATTAACAAATTTCTAGAAACATATGACTTACCCAAATTGAATCATGATACAGAAAATTTAAACAGAACAATTTTAGGAAATGAAATTGAAGACCCCATCAAAAGCTTACCAACAAAGAAAAGCCCATGACCAGATGGCTTCTCAGCCAAGTTCTACCAGATCTTCAGAGAAGAACTTACACCAATTCTCTTCAAATATTTCCATGAAATAGAAAAAGACGGAAACTTTCCAAACTCTTTCTGTGAAGCTAGTGTCACCCCGATACCAAAATCAGATAAGGAAAGAAAACTTGAGACCAATATCCCTCATAAACATAGATGTAAAATTTATTAATCAAATCCTGACAAATTTCATACAAAAACATGTTAAAAAGATAGCACACCATGATCAAATGGGGTTCATTCCAGGGGTGCAAATTTGGTTCAACATACGGAAATCAATAAACATAATTCATCACATCAGTAAACTTAAAGACAAGAATCATACAATTATCTCAATAAACGCAGAAAGGGAATTTGACAAAATTCAGCATCCTCTCAAGTTCAAAACACAAGAAAAACTAGGGATAGTAGGAACATACCTTAACATTGTAAAAGCTGTATATGCAAAATCCACGGCCAACATCATTCTATAAGGATAAAAATTGAAAGAATTCTTTCTAAAAACTGGAACAAGACAAGGATGTCCTCTTTCACCATTTCTATCCAATATAGTCCTTGAAACTCTAGCCAGAGCAATTAGGTAAAAGAAAGAAATTAAAGGTATACAAATAGGAAAAGAAGAGGTTGAACCATTCCTATTCACCAACAACATAATTTTATATTTAGAAGGCTCAAAACACTCCACCATAAAACTTTTAGAACTCATAAATGAATTCAGCAAAGTAGCAGGACATAAAATTAATGCCCATAAATTAATTCCATTTCTATACATCAGTGATGAATCAACTGAAAGAGAAATTCGGAAAACTATCCTATTCACAGGAGTCTCAAAAAAATTAAATACTTGGGAACCAATCTAATAAAAGCTGTGAAAGACCTTTACAACGAAAACTACAGGACACTAAGGAAACTGAAGAAGACCTTAGAAAATGGAAAGATCTCTCATGGTCTTGGATAGGCAGAATTAATATTGTCAAGATAGCCATACTTCCAAAAGCCCTATAAGGATTTAATGCAATTCCTATTATGGTTTCAATGACATTCTTCACAGAAATAGAAGAAGCAGTCATGAAATTCATTTGGAAAAATAAGAGGCCCAGAATAGCCAAAACAATCCTTAGCAAGAAAAGCAAAGCAGGAGGTATCACAATACCAGACCTTAAATTATACTACAGAGCTATAGTAACAAAAACGGCATGGTATTGGCACCAAAACAGACATGAAGACCAATGGTACAGAAGACACAGAGACAAACCCACATAAATATAGTTATCTCATACTAGCCAGAGGTGCCATAAACATACACTGGAAAAGGATAGCTTCTTCAACAAGTAGTGCTAGGAAAACTGGGAATTCATAGGTAACAAAATGAAATTAGAACCCTCTCTCTCACCCTGTACAAAACTCAACTCAAAGTGGATCAAGGACATAGGCATTAGATGAGAGGCCCTGAGCCTACTAGAAGAAAAAGTAGGCCCAGGTCTCCATCATGTCAGCTTAGTAACTGAATTCCCCAACAAGATTCCTAAAGCACAAGAAGTAAAATCAAGAATCAATAAATGGATGGTATCAAACTAAAAATTCTTCACAGCAATGGAAACAATCAAGAAAAAATGAATAGAGAGCCTATAGAATGGAGAAAAATCTTTGCTAACTCCACCTCAGAGACTGCATTAATCTCCAGGATACACAAGAATTCAAACAAACTTAACACCAAAAAAATCAAAGGACCCAATAAATAAATGGGCAAAAGAACTGAACCGACACTTCACAGTAAAAGAAATACAACCGGTCAACAAATAAATGAAAAAATGTTCAATATCACTAACAATTAGAGAAGTGCAAATTAAAACTACACTGATATTTTATCTCACTCCATTCAGAATGGCAATTATCAAGACTATAAGTAACAATAAATGTTTAGAAAAGGGTGGGACTGCAAATTGGTGCAAACACTATGGAATCCATTTGCTTACATGTCTCATTTTATAAAATTATAGACTCTTTGAGAAGGTTCTTTCTTTACTGTATTTATGCTTCTCTCCACACTCGTCATGCATACTTAGCACAGCACCTTTAACACAACAGAGGTTCCTCATAAAACTTGGAATAGAATCACCATTTGACCCAGTTATTAAAGGACTTAATTTCAGCATGTTATTGTGAAGCAGCCACATCAATATTTATAATATCTCAATTCACAACACCTAAACCAAGGAGCCAACCTAGGCACCCTTCAACAAATGAATGGATAAAGAAAATGTGGTATATATACACAAAGGAATATTACTCAGCTATAAAGAGAAATGAAATTGTGAAACTGGAGAAGATCATACTAAGCAAAATAAGTCAATCCCTGAAAACCAAAGGCCGAATGTTCTCTCTGATATGCAGATATTAAATCAGAATAAAGGGTGGGGTCTGGGAAGAATAGAAGTACTTTGGATTAGACAAAAAGGAATGAAGGGAAGGGAGAGGAAATGGGAACAGGAAAGACAGTAGAATGCATTGGACGTAACTTTCCTGTCTTTATATATGAATACACAACCAGTGTAACTCTGCATCATGTACAACCACAATAGTGGGATCCTAACTGGAACAAGTTATACTTATTCTGTGTATATATAATATGTCAAAATACACTCTACTGTCATGTATATCTAGAAAGAACAAATTAAAAAATAAAAAATAAGAGCATCAGTAAATAAGAGAGGCTGTGATAGTAGGGGCATTATAAGGTACAGCACAGGTTCTGATTAATTGCAAATGCTGGTACAAATTAGCCTAAGTATCAGGTAAGAAGTTAATTCAGCAGGTTCCTTGTCAAGGATATGGACAGATTCACTCAATATATGCCAATTTTATTTCAATCATACTTCTTGCAAGCCTCACCTTGTATTCTCGGTCATTGTGATTTCTGGAAAATGGATAAAATGCTCCCAGCTGCATCCACCGCCTGCAGAGCTCCTCAGGGGCATCCAATGCAAAGCCACATATGTCTGCACCCACCTGTAAAGCCACAGTCAGCATGGAGACCTCACTTCCAGGGACCCTGCTACCAGGACCTCCCAACTGAACTAGGTTAAGACTTTCACTCAGCAGCCTGCTGTAGTGTGGTCAGACTGACTCACACTGGCTAACATAGACACAGTTACCTAAGCTTTCTGTGCCTCAGTTTCCCTGTTTTATTAAAGTGGGTACAACAGCTTTTTGATAAATTGTAACTAGTAAACTGCTAAAATTATTATTCTACCACACTATTAAGACTTTTCTAAAGTCTTACTATGATCATGATTGTTATGATCACAAATTCAAAAATCTTCAGGAGCTTCTTGTTTCTCATCCTATTAGCTTGTCAAAGCCTGATTCAAATCTCCCTTTCCAGCATAATCTCCCATTTCAATTCTACGAAACAATCCTTATAGTCACATCAAATACTCCCCCTTATACTGTTTTTGCCAGGATTTAGTTCTCAATCTCTCTGAAGCTTCTCCCATCATTAGTCAGTTTTCAAGGTTAAACTCAAGCACCATCTTTTCTGTGAAGTTTCTTTTGACTTTTTCCTCTGACTCCATCACAATCTTATCAGTGTTAATAAATCTCTTTCTCAGGATCCCTCATCACATGTAACCATTTGGTTGGTCATAACCATTTGCTTCCATGTATCATTTTATAAAATTATAAACTCTTTGAGAAGGTTCTTTCTTTACTGTATTTATTTATGCTTCTCTCCACACTCATCATGCATACTTAGCCCAGCACCTTAAACACAACAGAAGCTCAATAAATATGTTGAATTTAAATAAAAAATGCCAAAGCCTTTCAAGTGCTGCCAACGTTATATGTTGCTTCACCTGAGTACTCCAACATGTTCAGTTTGTGACACTGATCAGCCTGAAGACTGAAGGATCAGTGTACTTTTCTGAGTGTATGTTATACTTTAATAGAAAAAAAAATGGCCCGGGAGATATCAAGCTTTCTCTCCCTAACTTCATAAATCAGCAGAGGGAAGGAAGTCCTGGTTTTAGAGCCATGTTGATGAATCACATGCACACAAGACATTAAATCCCTGGGCCACAGCAGGCAGGGAAGGGAGGTTTATGGTTTCAAAACTTTCCAGAATGGGGTTTCCTAGAGATTGAGATTCATAAAAGAGCTTGAGACAGGGACTCACCATTGGAATACCAAAAAGGTTGAACTCAAGCATGCCAGGGATGGACCACTGAAGGTCATTCCAGGTGGCTGCATTGTCTCCTAACCAATGCGCTGCAAACTTGCCAGACCCCGCAAAGGTAGAACGGGTTATGATGAGGCTTCTCTTATTAGGGAACACCGTCTTGACAGCTCTAGAAAGAGGGAGAGATTTAAGGTATCACTGTGATCCTAGTTTGTCCCAGCCCAGGGGATACAGCAATATAACAAGGATATTTAAAGCAAATACCCCATTTTTCTCATCTCATTCTCACCTAATAGGGCTAGAGTGGCCTTGGGGAACAGTCTGCACCATTCAAGTGTGTTCATATTTTGTTATATTTCATTTTGAGGTATTTAATGGACATCATTAACCCCATAATTTACAAGAATTTTAAAACTAAGCTTGAAAAACCTAGAAACTAAAGGGATATAATTTTTCTAGAAAAAAATGGTAAATTTAATTTTACATAGATGTATAATACTAATATTTCATATCACTGAGACTTCAGACATACACAAAAATGGACTTAGAAATAGTCTTTTTGGAAGGTAAACTTCTTTCGAGAAGAAAGATTGTAGTAGTAGTTCTGTAATAATAAAAAAAATTTAAATTATATATGCCTGTGTGTACTTTTATAACTAAATACAAGTATGAATTTTCCATATTTTTAAATTAGAAATCTAAGTGTATTCGTATAATTTAAAAGTTTTGTGAGACTAGTGAATGTGATTTGGGTCTGGTTTCCTTCTGTTACTGTTATAGCAAGTCAAATAAATTCTCAATACTTTTGTTCATCACAGAACTTAATACAACATAAAAGTAAACAGAACACAGAAGGATGCTGAACCAAATCTAAAATCCCAAAGCACATTGATATACAAGTTAGCTAGGGCTTTGGAATTGTAGAAAAAAAAAAGAGCCTAAGTTTTGCTTTTGAAATGTATCAGCTGTTTGATCTTGAGTTCTTGCTTTCTCTCTTTTCTTCCAATATTCCATTCACTCAATTGTTCTTTCATTTTATATATTCCACAATTATTTGTCTGATTCCTTCTTCCCCATGTGTTAGGCAGTTTCTTCATTCATTCAATAATGATAATATATTTATCATGTAGCCTTTTAACAAATACTACATATGAGTCATTCAGCATGTAGAAGACTCATAATTTGATCATGTGTGACTTCATCACAACAATGGTCTCACTCTGCTGTGGCGATCGCCATGGAGTAGCCATACAGGTTGTGGACATCATACTGCTTGCCCCAGTGCTGTACTGCATCCATGCAGAGACTCTTGGAGAAGAGATACCCATCCAGGACTCCTAAATCAAAAGTGTGATCAGTCAGTGAGAGCCACAGATGCACATTCCTACTCCTTGACTGTCATACAACCTGTAAAGGCAGCTCCCCAGGGCAGGATTTTATTGTGCTAACCCTTTAAACGATGATACTGCTTTCTCACTATCAGAAAGCTATCCCTCCGAGGTAGTTATTTTGATATATAAATAAATTTTGCAGACCCATCCGTATTCGTCCACTTACCTAGGCTCTCAATTGATCAGAGGCAGGCACAAGAAACTAGAAATCTGTCAGACTGGAGGTTTAATTGGAAATTTTTAAACCAAGTTAAAAAAAATAGAACTAATGGAGCAAACTAATCAATTAATTTCTGATTAGTTTCTAACTCTTCTTTACCTTGACCATATATTATAAAAATTATTTCCAATCTTGCTTTCATGTTTCTATTCTCTTTTTTTAAAATAATTTTTATTTTTAAAAGTAAATTGTACATTACAGGAAAAATAAAAACACAAGCAATGAACAAAGTCATCCAGTCACAAGAAGCTTAGTTGGACATGTCCCTCTAGGTTGTCTGCATATACATGTATCTATTCTCTACTCTCACTGCATCATTTTAGTTCAGATCCAATTACCTTTGCATCTTGACTATTGCAATCTTTTCCTAATGATTTATGTATTTTTGGTCTATCTACCATCTAATTTATACTGCATATTAGTACCAGATAATACTTCTAAAACCATTTGACTATCATACTTTCCTCTAACTAAAAGATAAATAGCTTCTATCACCAAAAGAATGAAATATGAACTCTGACCTTCCATCCAAACCCCTAGACATTTGATTCTGATCTACTCACCCTAACTTTCTAATTTTGCACCTCACTGAAATCATCAAAAGGTGGTACAATACTGGTAATGTCATTCCTTTCTCAATAAAGATTCAATGTGTTCTTGAGTCTATGCTTTCTTTAAACCATAACCAATGCAGTGATGCCAATGCTGTACCCTGAGAGATAGTGCTGCTCAAAGCTCACTTAAGCTCAGGAGCAAGCAACACATTCACTGATAAAACCTGCCTTGGCCAAGTCTACCTGTCTCTCTCTGGTAAGCCCTAGATTGTGGGCTGCACACTTGAGATTGACATATGCTAACCACCAATCTCTGGCTTCTATGCCATATTCTGTCTGGCCCTCCCCCTAGAAATGGTTTGGACTATAGCTAGACAGATTAGTTGCCCTTTTTGAATCTATTCCTCTTTAGGAAAGCACAGAGTGTTTTCATTTTCTTCCCCAGTGTTCTTGATATTTTATCCCACATTTTCTTCCCCTGTGTACAAACTCCCTTGCCAGGTTGTTCAGACCCTTCCTTATGAATTTAAATTATTAAATAAGCATTTCCATTTTAATCAGGCTGACCACAAAGACTCACTTGGAGTGAAGGGGGGATAATTGAGGTTGTTTTTGGAACATCCTGAAACTGAACCATCAACAAAGTTGGAGACTTCATTCATATCCTTCAAGACAAAGAACAAAAACTATTAAGAGAAGCAATATTTTCCATAACAGTATATTGATGGTGACTTTTTTAAAGAATCAAAGAACTTATTCCAGATATTTCCTTTTTAAAGGGGGTATTTATGTACATGGAATTAAACAGCTGTTTCTGTATTCTCTAGCCACTACAGACTTCATAGAGAAGTTTCTTAGTATCCCTTTTAAATGATATATGCTATATTTACTCAAAGTGAACATTCTCAAATATACTAGGTAAAAATTTTTAATTTACATTATGTCATATGTATATCAACTTACACCCTCTATATATCCAAATATAACCATGTACTTTATGACAATGTTTGGGGTATATGACCTATTTTAACATCAGCTAATTTGTTTCCTTATTAAGGAAAGCTAGATTCAAAAAATTCCTGAGGTCCTTCCCAATATAACTATGAATAAACAAAAATATAAATACATACACATATATAATAGATACATATATAGAGAGAGGGACATTATGTGCATGTGCCAAAGCTGTAAAAATGAAAGATATGGAAAGATTATACTAAATTTTTTTATGGTAGTTGTCTTTGGTGGCTATCACTGTATAGGATTTTTGCTTTCATCTTTTTAGTTGCCTGTACTATTTGAATTTCCTACAGTTCTTTAATAAATAGAAAAATTTTCAACTCTAGAGCTCTTTAATATTTTTTTTGGAGCAGGGGGAGCGATAACCAGGGATTGAACCCAGGGGTGCTTAACCACTGAGCCACATTCCCAGCCCTTTTTAAAGTATTTTATTTAGAGACATGGTCTTGCTAAGTTGCTCTAGGAAGAACTCTTCAAATTTTGCTGAACATTGGCTGGGTTGTATTGTTGTCATTTGACATTATTCTACACATTTCTCCTTACCAAGGCCTCCATACACTTTGGCTATGATTGCTTTGCCCAACATGTCCAAATGCAAGAGCCTAAAGCAGACAATTGAACAAATTCATGAATTTTATGATAATTTTAGTGGTATGTGACCAATAGGCTTATTTTAATATCAGCCTATTTATTTGTAAAAGGAGAGCTAGATTCAAAACAATTCCTGCTTAGAATTTTGATTCTAAGCAACATGTTTTGGTAAGATTATTTTAACCATAAAATAAGGGATACTAGGAATTATTGTCATAACTTGTTTTCTTTTACTCCTCTTCTCCCTATGCCCCATGACTAAAAGATGTAGACATAGATTCAACTACCTGAGTATTCATCACCTAAGAATTAAAGTGATAAAAACTCACAATCCAGATTCCATCAAACTCCACTTCACTGTGGAAAAGCTCAAATTCCTTTGTCCACCAAACAGCACAGTTGGGATTGGTGTAATCAGGAAACACAGTTTTACCAGGCCATACCTGCAAGAGAAAAAAGGGAAACACTGATAACAACAAACAAATGAGTATAGAATAAAATAAAGAGCTTTACTTAGAAATTCCTAATATGATCATTGAGATGGAGGTGCCCAGACACAGTCTATTTCAGTTAGGAAGATGTACCACTCAGAATATTGAGAATAAATACCAGGGGCCCCTTGAATTGCCACTTGAGGAAAATTTTGTATTTTAAAAATGGCTAAGTCCTTAATGAGTGAATCCATTGGAAAAGGGTATTGTTTAACTTGTTGATCTTCAACTATGGTTTAGCCTTCCCTATAACTTTCTCTGCTCTCAATTCTAAGAAGAGTAAATTGGGAAGTGTTCTCTATAAATTTCAACTGACCTATTTCATTTTATGTACTCTAATATCATTTACTTTTCTCTATTCCTTCCCTGTCCCGTTTTTCTCAGACACTATACTCTGAAAGGGTCCTCAGAGGTATGAGAAGTGAACTGGTAAATCAGCCTTTGTGGGAAACAAGTGCAAATAAAGATTTGAGAAAAAAGCAGTCAAACTTATCAAATACTATAAAGAAATTGAGTAAGAAAGCATGAAACATTTCCATTGGATTTACCATGTAGAAGGTAACTAGTGCCATTTTCCAGTGACATGATAGAGGAAGAAGGAGACTGTGGTCAGCATTGAGAAGAGCTGAGGTGTGGAAGTGGACACTCGGTGTGTGAGCTACTGTTTAATGGAGCCAGGCTAGGGAAGGCATGTAAGAACTAGGTTGGCTGGGAGATATTGGGGAAAGAAAGGGCAAAGGAAAGTTTTTCCTCAGAATCTACAAGTTATCTTCAAATATACAAAACAACCCCTGCCCCAACACACATACACTGTCATAGCCTCTTCCAGCCCCAGCTTCACCATGAAGTTACCTCCCCAATGAGTGGATTCACTCCATCTGAACTATTCACCCATATCTTCATAGCAGAGCCCCTGTCATATGGGCCATAGGGATGGCTCTGGGAAGAGTTGTTGGAGATGGCTGGATCCTAAAGGGAAAAACAAAACGGAGAAACTAACTTTAAACTGAAGGCACTGAAAGGAGACTTGGAGTTAGAGACCAACAGGAGAGTGAGTGTAATGATCAGAATGAGTAAATCCCTGATTTCAGAGGGAATAAAAAGACTGTATATACCACAATGATAACAAATTTCTGTCCGTTATTGTGTAACTCCTTAATAAACTCAGGAAAGCCGTTAAAATCCACTGGGTCATACGTGAAGTCCCTCCTCTCATCCATATAATCAATATCGCCATGTTGAACATCCTGAAAGAATACAAAGTACACAATTCAGTACCTGGGCATTTCCCTGTTCAAGTGGGTCATTCAAATTAAATAAATGTGTTATTTAAGACAAATGCCAACTCTGTGCTGGGCTCTAAACAGTCTTAATTAGTCCCTGGCATCTAAGTGCTTTTTTTCCCAGAGTAATTTCAAAAATGAATGACCCATTATTTCCCTAAGGCTTGACCCCACTTCTACAATCAACTTAAAGGCATCATTTATGACACATACTGAGGCTATCAAGGTAAATTTTACCCTGACCTCAAAATAAAAAAAAGGAAGGACTGTCTCTTCTTTCACTTCTCTCTCATTTTATCACACTACCATTTATGTATTACTTCTCTTCTACTTTAAGTCTTTGGTGTCATTCTTTTCTAATTCACCTGTGTGAAAACAGTGGATCCAGAATGACATTTACTCTTGCTCTAAGACACAGTTGTTTTCTCCAAGGGAGTAGTATGGGGGAGAAGAAAATTTTTCCAGAAACTTTTTGGGCTTTTCCCTTTGCATCTCTTCTGAAACCTCTTTCCCCATTCAAAGCATACAAATATTTTATTACATATATATACTACTTCCTTTTGCCCATTTAAAATGGGCAGAACTTGAAACATATTTTTAACTCAGTTAATAGCTTTCAATTCCATGTCTCCATGCTCCCTTTGACATCTCACTTCACTCTGCACTAGTAAGAGTCCAATATTGCTGTTCCCTAGCATCCTTAAGAAGGAAATGACTATATATACATTAGAAGAAGGACATCAAAAGTAGAGAGCCATTATAAGGGTAAAGACTTGAGCTTGAAAGTCAGTTTCTCTGGTTGTCTGGTATTAAATGGGGCTTATAATCTTAAATAGAATTCTCTTTTTATAATTAAATTATTTTATTTATATATGACAGTGGAATGTATTACAATTCTTATTACACATATAGAGCACAATTTTTCATATCTCTGGTTGTATACAAAGTATATTCACACCAATTCATGTCTTCATACACATGTACTTTGGATAATAATGTCCATCACATTCCACCATCATTTCTAATCCGATGCCCCTGCCCTTCCATTCCAACCCCTCTTTCCTATCTAGAGTTTGTCTATTCCTCCCATGCTCCTTCTTCCTACCTCACTATGAATCAGCCTCTTTATATCAGAGAAAACATTTGGCAGTTGGTTTTTTGGGATTAGCTAATTTCACTTAGCATTATCTTCTCTAATTCCATCCATTTTCCTGCAAATGCCATGATTTTATTCTCATTTATTGATGAGTAATATTCCATTATGTATATATGCTACATTTTTTTATCCATTCATGTATTGAAGGGCATCTAGTTTGGTTCCACTATTAGCTATTGTGAATCATGCTGCTATAAACATTGATGTGGCTGTGTCCCTATAATATGCTGTTTTTACGTCCTTTGGGTATAGACCAAGGAGAGGGATAGCTTGGTTAAAAGATTTCCAAAAAATCTCCATACTTCTTTCCATATTGGCTGCGCCAATTTGTAGTCCCACCAGCAGTGTATGAGTGTATCTTTTTTCACACATCCTCGCCAACACTTATTTTTGTTTTTCTTCAAAATAGCTGCCATTCTGACTGGAGTGAGATGAAATCTTAGAGTGGTTTTAATTTGCGTTTGAGTTTTTTATATATCCTAGATATTATTGCTGTATCTGATGTGTGAGCGGTAAAAGTTTCTTCTCAGCAAAAGAAACAGTATCTGAGGTGAATAGAGAACCTATATCTTGGGAGCAAATCTTTACCCGTCACACATGAGATAGAGCACTAATCTCCAGGGTATATAAAGAACTTAAATACCATTCTAACAATAAAATGAGATTTTTGAGACAATAAAGATGGCAATTAGAATTGTATCTGCCAAAAGAATTTAATACATGGTAGCTCTCATTATTTCAGCAATTGTTCTTATGATCCTTTGCTTCAGTTCTGCCTGTACACTTCTCTGTTATTCCTCCCTGCATCCTCATCCCCTCATGCAGAAAGTTGCTAAGGGATGAAGAATAAGGAGTAGTGGGGACTGTGGCCAAAGTCTGGAAGCACTCTCATCTTATGTTTTCCCCTATTTGTCATAGGCCTTTATATATATATATATATGTATATATATATATATATATACCTTTATTTTATTTTTATTTTTATGTGGTATCAGGGACCAAACCCAGTGCCTCATGCATGCCAGGCAAGCACTCTACCACTGAGCCACAACTTGGCCCAGTCATAGGCTTTTTGAATCTCAACTCTTTCAAGCATTTTCTTTTACATTTCATATTTATGGACTTTTTTAGACTCAATTTAAAACTGTTTCTTGAAGCTCTGCTTCAAATACAAAATGACCACATTACATGGAAGGGCAAATTCTGCTTACTGCCAACTCAATATTAATCAGAATACCAATGCAGAAACAGATGGAGCAGAAACCCATTATATTTAATTACGTAGTGTCAGTTGTGTCTTGATCTGGCTATGTGGTCTCCTTCAAGCTATTCCCACCTGCAGCTTAGCCTCAGTTTCTTATCTATGAAAAAAGATGCTAATCTAGATAACTCAGGGCTGCATCCAGGATATCTTCCCTTTTGTCTAAATCATTGGGGTCTGAAATTACTACCCTTCTTCAATTTTTCCTTAAAATATATATGTAAAGCATATTAATCAGCAAGGCATGGAAGATGATGAATCTGCATCATTCATTACCTGACCATAGAGATGAGAATTAAGCTTATACCAGAATCTTAGAGAAATTTCTGAAGACACAATATCATTCTTATGGTCAGTCCCTGCCATGACACTTTTGAATCAAAACAGTCCAAGCAAGAACATATCTATAGTTTAAAAAAAAATCTATACTGAGAAGTATTAAAATATTATAACCCAAGATAGAGAGAGAATTAATTGAAGAACTAAAATTAAAACACATCATGTAAGCTGTAGTCAGTTCATATGTATGAGAAAATTTTTCTGATAGAACTCCTAACCTGTAATGGTATTCTCTAAGTACTCCTCCCACTCAAAAACAAAAACAAAAACAAAAAACAAAAAACAAAAAAAAACCCAGGGCTCCTTGAAAAACTGGTTACCCAACAAAAAGTCTTGTATTCTAAATATATAATAATCTTTTTATTACCAAAAAAAAAAAGCCCTAAAACTTCAGGGGGAGAAAGTATGAAGAGCTGTCCTTATTCATTCCTCCAGGGAATTTCTTGATTTGGGGAGAATCACTTAAAACCTCACTTACATAAGGGAGTTGTGCTGCCCGGTTTCTCTTCCAGACTTCTTTCATGTTTTCTAGGGTTCCATACTCATACCTGCTGAGGTGGAATCCAAGTGCCCAGTATGAAGGTAGAGCTGGCCGTCCAATAAGCTGAATGAAATATGAAAGATGTAGGTTAACAATATTCTTATGTAATAAAATTTTGTCAGAGCATTGGTTTGTTCTTTTGTTTCCTGATACAGAGTCACACTACATTGCTTGGGTTAGCCCTGAACTCCTGGTCTCAAGCAATCCTCCTGCTTCAGCCTCCTGAGTATCTAGGACTATAGGTGAGTGACCACTTGACTCTAGGCATTAGTTCTGAGGCACAAAACATACCCCATTTTCCAATGCACTAATTTAATTTCTGTCAGCATATTAGTCTATTTTTCTACCTCCTTTAAAATTCATTAAGGGACAGGCCATGTTTTGGACATCTTTATATTTTCTCCTTTTTATAACCTAAAAATTCTACAATCCAAGTTTCCATTGCATATAAACTTTAAAGTCTCAAATTTGTTCTTTAGTGAAATCTGCTTTTTGTTATTACAAATTCATGATAGTATATTTCTATGGTCACACTTGCATATTAAATTTACTTTTCTTGAATACTTGCAATGTAGGCTTCCTGTCACAGTCACAGCATCATAAGTTTACCTCTAGATATTCTTGAACAACTTGCTCTGGTGTGTTTCCCAGGAACACATAGAAGTCAAGAATGCCCCCAATGGTACGGTAAGTGATTGCTGGGGCAGGCTGGAGGGTGACCTCTAAAATGATTAGAAAAAAAAATTAGAATTTGTTCAAAATTTAGACATGAGGATCACTAAGGATCTCAATATTACTATAGTGATCTAATGCCTCACATTTTTGCATACAAAGGGCTATACTCTTTTTCTGAAAGTCCACCTCCACATGGCATGGGAGTCAAAACTTTTGTTCCCTGATAGACTTTAATAAGAGGTGACTTAGTGTCTTACCTCCTTGTGCTAAGACCCAGGCTCTGATGAAAAAGTAACCAGGTCTCGGTTAACCTATTACCCCCAGCTTAGCCTCAGTTTCTTATCTATGAAAAAAGGATGCTAATCTAGATAACTCAGAGCTGCATCCAGGATATCTTCCCTTTTGTCTAAATCTTTGGGGTCTGAAATGACTACCCTTCTTCAATTTTTCCTTAAAATATATATGTAAAGCATATTAATCAGCAAGGCATGGGGGATGATGAATCTGCATCATTCATTACCTGACCATAGAGAATAAGCCATTGGAGCATAAAAATTTTTTGAGACTGAAGATATTTGCTACTGAGATTCCTGATCTGCCTAAAAGCATCACCTCCAAAAGAACTTAATTGTCATAAATTCCCTTCCTAGGAGCAGCTCTAATTTTCTTTGAAACAATAAGCACCAATAGACATTGTCATAAAACAATTACATCTCCCATTGATTTCCCCCAAGATTTGTCTTTCAAACAGTCACTCACTTCTGAATAAATATCTTTTTTTCCCTTCCCTTACAAGTTGGTAGATAAGCCCCAAGATCTAAACATCCTTTTCAGTTACTCATCACTAAGCACTCCTGCATGCAAGCACGTGTAAATAAACTGCCTCTTCCTTGCTGATCTGTCTCAGCAGAATTAAATCTGGGAATTAAAATCTAAGAATTAAATCTAAGAGGGTAGAAGGAAAATTTCCCCTTTCTGAATTTCACAACCACATGTTATACTAACCCATATTCCATCTTTATGGTAAGAATATAACCCAGCTAGACATAATGAGGTACTAACTTCAGTGAATCTCATATCAAACAAGATTCAAGCTGAAAAAAGTCAGATTACATCATAAATTCAAAATCCTTTTAAGCACCTATCACCATTCTTAGAAATCTGCCTTTTTGCCTTGGTTTCTATGTAGGGACAAAAGACCTCAAGCTCTACTGACATACTCTGGTTGCAGGAACAACAAAGGCAGAATACCTAGGATCTTATGGCTTCACTAAGTCTGACCTTGGTTTGTTTTCTGATTCCTTCAACTACCTAAAACTGCAGAGTCCTTGTGTTCTTTCAATCTATTCTTAGGCTATCAGGTTTTCTAGAATTATTTTACATCACTTAGAGTGCTTCTCAAATAAACTGTGGTGAAGGATCAGATATTTTTTGAAAATTTAATTTTCACTTCACTGCAAACTGATACTTCTGTAAAAGAATATGAAAATGAATTTTTATGAAAAAAGCTCATTCATGCATTGGATGCTACAGCAGTATTCCTATTATTTTCTTTACTGATCTTACTGTATGATCTGAAACAGCTTGTGAGCAATCCACAGACCACACTTTGAGTAGCATTAATATATCCAATGGTCCTCAATTAAGAAGAGGGTAGAGATCAATATCCTATGTCCATCTTCAACCCTGGGAGATACTGATACCTCTCCTCTTACCCTTCCATGATTCTACTGGAGCTGCCACTAGAGTCTACTGAATGTAAATTTAAAGAGGGAGAAGAACCAATTTTTAGAAATTGTCTCAAAGTAAAATTATAAGGAATGGTTAGCTATCTCAACTCTATAACAGAACCCTTAGCTATCTCAACTCTATAACAGAAAATAATCCACTGGAGGCAACCAGATTCAGGGAAGTGAGAAGCTAGGAGAATAATCCCTTATATGTGGCTACTATGTGGTCAATAGGTCAATGAGATAAAGACAGAACAACTAGAGAACATAAGGCCCTAAGCAATAGCTCAATCACTCTTAAAGGGACCCATTCCTTTTATCATAGTGCTGTAAGAAAAGGACTTAAAAACTGTTCTTCTGTATGTTTGCTTTTTCATGACTATCCCTTTAGTCCTTTACCCATGGCATTGCTGTTCATCAGAAACACCCCAAAGGATAATCCACTAGCATCTTCAAGGCACAGGAAAAATGTCTGAGCACCATACAAGTTATTTCCATCCTGCAGAAAGAGAATTAAAATCCAAAATTTACTACCAAGTAGTCTAAACATCACATTGCTGGATTAGCTTAGAAAAATCAGTTGTAATCATGTGAGGACACTCATGGCTAATGAAGATGCAAATAAATTCTAAAATATAGGATCTCTATTTGGTTGATGTTTATCAGGTGAACTAGTTTTCTTATGCAATGAGCCAGCTATGAGCACTCATTTAATAAGTATGTGCTGGTTGTGATTACCTGTTAGGTGAAAGGATTCTGAAGCCATCATTCCAAACAACTCTCCTTTCAAAGAAGCGTACCTTGACCTGACTTAACCTCATCTGCAAAAGTCCTACAAGTCTTCATATGAATCAGCAACTAGATGGAGCTCTAATCTAGACTAGTTTTCTAGATTCCAGAAGAGGAGGTATCAAGCCAGACTCCCTAGGGAAACCCTAGGATGGAAGTAGACATTTCTATACTCTTTAATTTCCCCAGATGGTTGCCATGTATAGTCAGTTATAAGAATCATTGCTCTAGAACAGTGTTTCTTAAAGTTTGGTGGACGTATGACTTACACAGGCACCTTAGTTACGAAGGGATTCTAATTCACTAGATGGCGGGAGGGACTGAGAGCCCACATCTCTCACGTGGTGCTGTCTGTGCTTCACTCTTTAAGTGGCAAAGATCTAAGGCTCCATAATAAGTGATCATCACCAGCTGTCCTGACGCCACTCTTTTCTGCTTTTCTGATGGGCATTTGGTAGCCATGAGCATGGATTTTAGGTGAAACATAGTACAGACTAGATTCTTTATCTATTAAGTGCAAATTGTTTTACTTTGGCTATTGAACTGGCTTCTCTGAATCTCATTTTTGTCTGTTAAATAAGTAAATTATTGTTATTTTTCTGAATTATTTTGATATATATATAAATAATATATAAAATAACTGCTTAATAAATTATTGCTGGGATCTCCTTTCATCCAGGCTTCTTAGTTCATACCCTAACAAAGTTCTGTTTACTCAGCCAAGTCCTGAACCATAGAGTATTTCTAAGTTGAGAAAACAATGCTGCCTCAAGTTTTAACAATCAAAAAAAAAAAACAAACAAATGAAAATAAAATTTAAAAATAGTAGCATCAATTAATGATTTGACCCCTATGCCAATTATTCTTTTCACAAAAAAATAATTGATACATTGCTTTGGCTCGGACTTTATCCTATTTTTCTGACAAGGGTGGTAAGTCAGTGATTTTTTAAAGGTCAGCCTAAAATTTGGCACATCATAATCAACTATTATTCAGACTACAGCTTTTAAGGACATTTTGTCCCCAACTGGTTAATTCAAAGGGGAAAATATAATGTAAAGTAGTTGGCAGTTACTGAGCCCTTCCTCTGGGACAGACATTCTTCTAGATACTTTATATGTTTTGATTCATTTAATCCTCATGACAACCCTATGAGATAAATACATTACCTTCATTTTATAGATGAGGAACTGAAGACACAGAGAAATAAATAACTTGCCCAGAACCATATCATAGTACCAGAGCCAGAATTCAAGCCCAGAATCTTACACCTCACTACTATACTGTACTTCTAGAAGTGACCTTCAAGTATGAGGCTATAATACTCAGTGAAAAGAGCCCATCCTGAAAGCTTACCTTATTGGGGGTTGTGTCCCTGGTAAATATGGGCCAGGTCTTCCAATTCATGTCATGCCGGTATTGTTGGTGCACATGTTCTCCCAGACCATACACATTAGCACTAGGCAGGCGGATGGAGAGCTGCAGGAACTGATCCGCAAACAGGAGGGGCCCGATGCTTGAGTCAAACCTAGACACAGGTGGAAAACAGGGGAATGGGCTGGGCAAGTGCAGTGGAGAGAACATAACTGCTAAAAAAAAGTGGGTTTTATATCTCTATTTAATCAGTCCCATTTGCCCCGTGTGATGTTTTACCATGGACGCTAAGACATCTAGACTCCTTCAGGGCAGTTACAATGTGGCACACTTCTCATATTTGCCCCCCAGATACCCAATCTCATGACCAGAACACTATATTTTATGATCACAGACTAGTAACTATTTACCGGTGGGCAGATGGTTAGATAGATCAGGAAAGAAAGGGAAAAATGCAGAGGGGGAAAAAGTGCTGGTGCAAACAGAAGGGAGAAAATATATATACATTTGGAGGCAGAGTCCATTCACAGTTGTGGGCTCACAACCTTCAAGAATATTATTGAAATGCACCTTCCCCCAGCCCACACACCTCCCTTCATCATCTTCCCTAGATAGGTGTTCAAAACTTACAGAACACGATTGTTGCTTCTTCTGGTCACTTTGATGCTAAATGGCTGTTTAGAGACCTCAACTTCATAGTTCAAGGAAGCAGCAGCATTTCCATTAAAGGGTTGTACATGTTCATGAGGCACTTCATACCTGTCCTTGGTTTGGTCAGTCAACTATACAGAGAGATGAATAGAAATAAAGCCAAAATCAAAACCTTTCTGATTTTCCAAAATATAATTATCCCTACCAACACCAATGCTTCCCAGGAACTGGCATTTTGCCTAAGAATGTATTCATTACATTACCAACTTCAAATGATTAACTATTGAGCATGAGTTAGGCTTGTATACTGCAAGTCTGCAGAGATGACTCATCCCTAGAAAATTCAAAGCTCTGATAATTCTGATTCTTTTTTCTTATTTTGTTTTGGTTTGATTTTGGCTACTACATTTCACATGGTATCTAGGGCAAATAAATGAAAGTCAAAAGTGCACCAATGAACTCTGTAATATTTATTTAGGAAATTATCACATAGAAGGAAGACTATAGATGACTTCAATATACAAGTCCTAAATAATAATGACAACAGAGACCTACAGTACCTACATTAGCAAAATTTTCTACCTAGTCAAAACTATAGTCATAAGGTGGGGGAAAAAAGCCTCTTAAAGATTTTATTAAAGTAAACAAACTATAACCTTAAAGTGGAAACGGTTGGATGTCTGGTATTCGGCTGTGAGAAGAACGTTGTCAACATCATTTCCAAATGGGGATGAAGAAGGCAGAGTTTTCAACTGCGCTGTGAATCCTAACATGTAGGAGAGAAAAGGTTTTCATAGCTGACATTATACATTTGCAAATAACAGCCAAATAAAAATTAAGCTTAAGGTAAGGGACTGATTAAAATGTTTTATTTGCCAAAGAAGAAAAAAGGTAAAGGTATTCATACATATGTACTATCTTAGGTCAGATCCCAAAGTTAAGAAGTATTATTAACTTGTACAAAAACCTATGCCTTTCTTCTACAAACTATGATTGAAACCCCCCCAAAGGTTTAATTCTTATTCTAACAGACTCATTCTGTGTTGATCAGATACTCTTTACTTTTCAGTATATATTCATTATTCCTTCTCAGTTATTTTCATATTCCATTATGGGTGATCATATTCCATTATGGGTGATCAAATTAAAGTCATCTCCCTGATTGAACAGAAAATCAGGTGAGAGCTGAGGCCTTATAGAAAAGCCCATCAGACCAAGAGCATCTAGAAGAGAAATAGGCCTTATCCTTCATGCTAGGAGCATGCCCAGAATAGTCACCACTGTTACCCCCACAATGTTCATGGTGATGCTCTTCATTTTAGGGTTTGGAGGAATAAGAGGGCATGATCAGCCCATGAGCACTGACATTGACTAGGTAACTTTTCTAACATTTATAAAATTGTAAATCATTTCATTTTGTAAAAAATAAGACTAGAGTTGAAATTAATCTCAAAGCTGAGTTAAAATTGCCCACTTTAAAAGTGATAAACTTGAGAACCAAAAAGATTATGACAATTACACAAGTTCATACAGGTACATAAAGGTGAAGCTAGAATAGAACACGGTTTCTTAACTCACAAGACAGAGGGTGATTGCTGTTTGGTGTCAAAATAAGTTATAATTCTTGAAAAGAGCAGTGCCACCTTCTGTCACATGTGATGGTGTGGCAGCACAGCAGTCCCCTGTGTGCTGCCACAGGGCTCCTCTGGGAAATACAAAGCCAGCCTTCAGAAGGTCTGGGGCTGCTGCCTCTTACCTGCATTTGTGTTTACAGGATCCCCCTGCACTTGGTAGCCATGATTCTTAGAATAGTAGCACCAAGGAATACCTATGGTTTCCTGAGCTTCCCAACAGCAGCCACGCAGGTCACATGTAGCCTGAAACAAGAGATGAGTCAAAATAATTCCATTTAGTTGTAGAACACTATATTTCAGAAACTATAAAACACCTAATTTGGGGTTAGGACATCAATAAATTCATTTTACAAATAAGGAAACTAATCATTAGAGAAATTATGTATGTTATATCCCCAGTGGCCTCTATTCACAAGGAATTTTTCCTTGTGAAAGAGTATAGGAATACAATGCATTCCATGTCTTTCATCACAATAAAATTGATAAATATTTTTAAAATTCTAAAGTATAATATTGTTTTATCACCAGTAATCTAAAATTACAAACAACACTTCATTGATATTAGCTTTGACTTTTAAAATCAAAAATACTCTGCAATGAATTTTACTCAGAAAACTTCAATCAAACAAACTTTGCATTGACTTCTAAATATATATGTTGCATATTTGTGTGCATTCCACACAGGTGACATATCTATGGTCTCTTGACTCCTACCAAGGCAGAAAGTAATCTTTCCTAACACTCAAATAGATCCTAATTCTTCCTTTAAAAAAGTGCCTGCCTTATGCCACAATTAATGACTAAGTCAAGTGGAGAGTAAAATGAATATAATCTCTTTCTCACACCAACTAATTTTGGGAAAGAAACAAATGTAACTACAAGGAAAAAAGCACATTATAGAAATCTCTAGTCTTCTATGTGGGATGATCTAGGGACTTGGAGCTAATAGAAAATAATGGGATTCACTTCATAGAAGAGATCACAGAAAGATTATGACTTCAGTCTTGTTTTCTCCCTTTCACTTTCTTTGTTGGAATACTCAACTCTGGAAGGAGTCATCATATAATAAAAAAGGCCCACATGGCAAAGAACTGAGGTTCTCAGTTCAACAACCCCCAAGAAGCTAGCTCTTGACAATAATCACATGAGCAACCTTGTCAAAGATCATCATAATTCCAGAAGAGTCCTTGATTGCAGTCTTCTAAGAGTCTCAGAGACAGAGGTACCTGGCTAAACCAAACCTAGATTTTCAATTACAGAAACTACAAGAAAATCAGGCTTATTATGTTAAGTCATTAAGTTTGGGTATAATTTATTACACAATAGTAGCTAACTCATACATCCTACCACATCATTTACAGATCAAGATCCCAAGGCCCAGAGGGTAAAGTTTCACAGATATGAAATAACCTACCAGAAGGTACTTGGCCATTGAGAAGACAAAACCAAAACTAAATTTCTCCCTGTCCTTTTCCTTTTACTTTCTGAATTCTGGGTTGAATACCACTACACACACCTTTAGGAGGATACAGCAATGTTTTAAAAATGATAAGGAAAAAAAACAGTTATGTTGAGCTATATGAGAAATTATGTTTAATCAAACACTAACTTTTACATTAATAGCAATTTCAGGTTGTGTATCCCTTATCTGAAATGCTTGGGACCAGAAATGGTTTGAATTTCAGATTTTCAAATTTTGGAATATTTGCATACACATAATGACATATATTCAGGATGGAATCAAAGTCTAAACACAAAATTCATTCATTTTTTTATGTATATCTTACAATATACATAGCCTGAAGATAGTTTTATACATTTTTGAAAATAATTTTGTTTTTAGGATGGGGGCAGGAAACAAGGTTCCATAATGTAGAATTTTTCACTTGTGGTATCATGTTGGAGCTCAAAAAAAATTGATTTTGGAGCATTTTGGGTTTTTAGATTTCTGCATTAGGGATGTTCAATTTGTATTAAGGGTCAAAAAATGATGTCTGTCTGTGACTTATCTTGCTGTAAGATCAGTTTTCACTATGAACTAGATTTTGTTCCTTCCTTTCAAAGCTCACTTAGATGCAAAGTCATTATACAGAAAAAGAGAAGGACACTGAGAGTAGTGTTAAGTAGAATGGCTTTTTGCACACTCCCCAGAGCTTAATACTTTTTCATTGAACTGAAAAGGGCAAAGAGCAAAGTGGTCAAAGCAGCAAGGAGAGTAAACAGCCTCTCTTGGCCAACTCAAAAACACCAGCTCCTGCCGTTAAACACAGCAATTAGGGGAAGCAGGAGAAGCACAGCAATATCCATATGACTTGTAAAACCTAGGAAAATGGTTTTAGAGGGAAGCTGTGAGAATGATGACATGAATAATATGAATGCAAATTAGACTCAAGATATAAAATGCACCTTTAGTTGGGTATGAGAATTAAAATTTAATAAGTACTGCCAAAACAATCTAGAATGTGTAACTACCAATACAGTACTATGGAGGAAATGAGGATGGGGGCAGAAATCCTCTGTTTAGACAATAAGGAAAGAAAACACCTGCTTTTGAAGACTCCAGGGCAGGAAGTAGGACATTAAAAAAAAAAGACCAAATGGAAAGCACAAAACCTAAGAGGGAAAGCCATGTCAATTATCACATGGTTTAAATACTTTTAAAACAAAGATAATCAGATTACATTTAAATAACTAAATTCAGATAAAAGTTTTTTATAGGTGCTATATCCAAAAATTAGGTTTGAAAAAGCACTGGAAGTAAAAGGGGATCACACATATAAAAAGCATGCTAAGTAACAAATCAGCATTAATAGCAGATAGATATTAAGTAAATATTCGTTGTTAGGGAGACAGAGTCATGGCATGATTTCAATCCACCAGGATCATCTCAAACCTCAAATTTGATATGTACTAACAATAAAAAATTCAAAAATATATATAGAAAAAATATTTCAAACTCATAAGGTAAAACTGGGGGAGATAGCACATAATAGAATATTTTTATGGTACTGCCCTCAGTAACTGATAGACAAAGAAAACCAAAAATATAGATATTTCACTTTTTATATAATAGTCAGCCCCCTATATCCATGGGTTTCATACCCAAGGATTTAACAAACATCAGATTAAAAGTATATTTAATTGTGTTTGAAATGTGTAGGCTTTTTTTTTCTTATAATTACTCCCTAAACAATACAGTATAACAACTCTTTATGTAACATTTATACTGTATTAGGTATTATAAATAGTCTAGAAATGATTTATAATATATAGGAGGATGTGCATATTATATCCATTTTAAATAAGGGACTTCAGCACTTGCACATTTTTATCCACTGGGGGTTCTGCATGATGGTATACAGGCTCTTGCATCAACACAAAGATCAGTTTTAAAGAAACCAGATCCTGAAGTCACTGTTAAAAATCCAATCAACCGTCCTTGGCATTTAAAAGAGAGAAGAAATAAAAGGAACAAGTATTTTACACCCAAAGTCCCCAGAACCACAAAAGAAATGAAAAGTAGACAGAAAAGAAAATCCATGTTCATAAATGCAAAGCCTAAATGAAAAAAGGGATACACAACATTAATAGAAATCAGCAAGATTAAATAATGACAAAGTTTCTACCAGAAATAAAGAACTTTAATATTAGAAAACCAACTTGTGTAATTCATCATCATAAATCATCAAATGAAGTATGTCATATAGTCCTTTAAATTCATCAGCTATTCATGATAAAATTCTTAGCAAACTAGGATTAAAAAGTCACTTCATTCATTTGATAATGGTAATCTACAAAAAACCTGTAATAATTATCATAATAAATGGTGACATGTTAAAAGCATTCCTTTCCAAATGGGGGGGGGGAAGCCTACATGGCCCGTATGTATTAGTGCTTGCAGTTTAAAAATACACCAGAGGTCCTAACAACACAAGGGACACAAGAAAAGAGTATATAAGACTGAACAGGATGACATCAAGACATCATTATTTGAGATTTAACATTGTCCAGGAAGAGATCTAAGAAAATTTGAAGGACAAATTTAGAACAAATAAGTCAATTATTGTTATATTGCATTCTTTATTTTCTTTTTAAATTTGAAACTTCTTCCTTTTCAACTGTGGGCATTTAATCCCACTAGAATACATAGATAGCAAATCACAAAACCACAAAGCCTAATGAGCTTCATTTTCTCAAAATAAAACACTTCATCAAAACAAAATGTCATCAAAGTAGATGTTTGCAACATGTGTAATACAAATAAGACTGAGAATTTGAAAAAATATGAATGAACAGATAAAAAACTTGTACACATCAAAGAGATAAACATTTCAATACATAATTAAGAACAAAGAAGAAATTCACAGAAATAACTGAAAGATGTTCACCCTTGCTAGAATTCAGGAAAATTATCACTAAGGTCACAAAGGGATACTATTTAATAACCTTAAAGTGTCAAAGTTTAAAAGGACTGTCGATTCCAATGTTATTAGGGATGCAGAGACTGTAGTAAGATGGTAAATTATAGTCACTTTAGAGATTAATTTGAAAATATCTAGTACACTTGAAGCAATATACCCCAAATCAGACACATGTAAGTAAAAATGTTTACAGAACTAGTCATAACAGCATCTTTGCAACCATAGCATATTAGAGAAAAACTAATTTCTTTTATCCAAAGAAAGGATGATTTTGATACACTGTTTCACAGTGAGCACAAATGAATTAAAGAGATACATATCAATTTGGATAGATCTTACAATGCTAAGTGAAAAAGATTGCAAAGCATGCATTTTTGTTTAGAAATTGAGTATACCTACTGCTTGTATCTGTAAATAGTGATGGTACAAAGGAATCATGATGGATTTCAACTTTGGAATGTGGTCACCTCTGCAGAGGGAGCTGGGAAAAGTGATACAGCAGGGGAATACAGGGGAGTTCATCTTTGCTGGTTCCATTTTATCTCTTAACCTGGATTGTAATTCTACATTCTTGGATATCTTAAGTTATTTATTAATAATTACTTCAAAGGAGTTCAGTGCTAACAGAGCCAAGGTGAGAAAAACAATTATCTGTTTTCTTGACCTCCTTCCTTTTCTGTGAGTCCCAACTTATTTTCCAACCTTCTATATACTGGATTACCAAAAACACTATAATAATCATGCTAATAAAATGAAAAGACAGACTAAAAACACCATATTTTCACCAAAATACCTTCCAACATAATAGCATAGAGAAATGATGATAAATGTACAGCTTTCCCTTTGTGGCAGAAGCATCTTACTCTGGAACTCTCAAACCATGATCTTGTTAATTCAAACTCAGAAACTTTACAACTATAAAAACTTAATTTGGCTTTTTTTTTTTTTTAGAGAGAGAGAGAATTTTTTAATATTTATTTTTTTAGTTTTCAGAGGACACAACATCTTTGTTTGCATGTGGTGCTGAGGATCGAACCCAGGCTGCACACATGCCTGCTACCACTTGAGCCACGTCCCCAGCCCTTAGTTTGGCTTTTAGGAATTGCAGTTCAGGAAGCACAGGTTCAGATAGCTATGAATCTGTGTTTGAGGAAGACAGGAAAGGTGGGAGTTTATGTGAGCAAGCAGTATCATTTTATTAAAAAAAACTGTAAAAATCTCTTGGTGTGGGGGTGTTTTTGTTGGAGTTCAGAACAGGGGTTAAGTGATTGACAGAACACTAAGAAAAGAATATATATATATATGAAATAAAAAAATAAAATAAGAATATATATGAGTAAAAGTGTCCATAAAACCAGAGCCTGATAATCTCTTGATATGCATATTGAGTCGCTGGGCACAATGTAATTATCTGATTATCTTGATGTTTGTGCCTACAGTCAAAGGCTGAAGGTGACTGAAGTTTATCACAGCTAGAATCCTGTGGAAGTCCAGCTTCCTTAAGGCTCCACTCCACTTTGAAAAGCTCTTTCAATATTGCTTTTATAGTGAGTTTTCTTTATTTTCATATCCTCTGCTACTCCACCCCCTCTGATCTGTATTTTCAGTAGTTGACCAATCTTTACACTTATTAATGCCTATTCTGAGCCAAATAAGCATTCCTCTGTAGCTGTATAAAATGGCTGCAAGGGGCTGGGGATGTGGCTCAAGCGGTAGTGCGCTCGCCTGGCATGCGTGCAGCCTGGGTTAGATCCTCAGCACCACATACCAACAAAGATGTTGTGTCCGCCGAAAACTAAAAAATAAGTATTAAAATTCTCTCTCTCTCTCAAAAAAAAAATTGCTTCGCGTTCTCTTCCCATCAAGAGGGGGTACATACACCCCTTCTTATTAAATGTGGGCTGGCCCATGACTGATTTAATCAACTTAGTACAGAAAAAGTGATGCTAAACTGCTTCTGGGCTTTTACTTGAAGAAGGCTGGCAGCTTTCTCCTTCGTTGTAGCCATCAGCTATCATGTAAGAAGTTCGCTGCCAGGCTGGAGAGACCAACAAGAGAGATTTCAGACTATGTCAAAGGGTAGAGGAGCCTGTGGTCCCCCTTATATCCAAGGTGCCAACCGTGTGGATGAAACCATCTTGAAAACATCCCAACTAGATCAGCCACCAACTGAAACAACCAAGTAATCCTAGTCAATGCCTCTTATGAGAATCACACTGCCAAAACCTGCCAAGTCTCTGACCTATAAAATTGTGGGACATAAATCAATTGATTGTTTTTTTAAGTCACTAAGTGTGGAGTAGTTTGTTTCTCAGTAGTTAAAAAAAAAGAGAGAGAGAGAGAGAGACTCTTCTGTAAGAAACAGAGGACTTAGAGCAATTTTCATGAAGCTGGTGCTATGGTTTGAATGTGTCCCTTCCAAAACGCAGGAGGGCCACTAAGAAGTGGTAAGGCCTCCAGGGCTCCTCCCCTGTGAATGGGATTAGGGGCCCTTATACAGGTGGACCCCTCCTGCCTTCTTCCCTGTGAGGATGCAGCAAGACTTAAACAAATATGTCACTCTGCTCTCTCTATGGTTTAGACTTTGAAGTGTCCCAAATTGGAATATGATCAATCTCCAGAGAACATTTCCCAAGACCTTAGAGATCACTAAATTCCAAAATCTTTTCAATCACAGAATTCAGTACAGTGTTTAGTAGTTATTTTCTTAATGAAAAATTTATCTGACCACACATTGTCTCAATCACTGATACAGATTTGACAGTATGCAAGGAAATGTGATAGGAATCAAGTCATAGATATTTCAGCAGCAAAGCCAAGATTAAAAACCTGGTACTCTGGTTTTCCTACCATGCTCTTATTCAATGTCTACACTAGCAACAACTAGCAAATCATAAACATAAGTCTATTTGTGGGATTTTATAGCTCACTGCTTTTCCTAGCACCAGTTAATGGCTCTTAACTGATGATGTGTAAACACAAAGTAATTTTAAGGGTGGAGACTCATAATGATCTTGGCAAAATGCAACATCTTTACTAGTATATCATAAAACTGAATCCTTTAAATATATTGATAAGAAACTGGAATGGGGAAAAAGAAACTATAAGCCAAATAAATAATTGATAAGTAGCTAGAAAGTGTTTACTACAAAAAGATAATAAAGTTTCTGAGCAGGAAAATATGTTAACCTTACCTCTCAAATATCATGGTAATAAATATTACCATTGGTTGTCTATGGAAAATGCTTAATTGCAAAATGCTTTCAGCATTTTGACATTTCAGTGTCTAAAACTGTCATGGGTGTGTGCTCTAAGTGAAGTTATAGAGGCCTAGAAAGGGCTAAAGAGAACTTTAGATGACAAAACAAAGTATTTGAATTTGACCCAGTATGCAGAATGAGCTTCTATAAGAACAGGAGTTTTGGGTAGAAATACAATCAAAGTAGAATGTTAAAGAGAACAGTTTTAATCATGTTTAATCAAAATGGAATAAATGAAATGGAATTCAGAGAGATGCTAGGAGGCTACTGGAATACGATGATCTAATAATGTGTTGAGAATGAAAATGAAGTAATTATTCTGGAAAATATTATTGAAGGGCTGTTTTGAAATACTGGTCACAGGGATAACATAAGTCTATTTGTGGGATTTTATAGCTCACTGCTTTTCCTAACATCAGTTAGCAATTGAAGGGAAGAGCTAAGCAAAAGTTCTGTTGATTCTGACTCAAAGACCAGAAGCATAACAGAACTACTAACAGAACCCTTACAGTAGAGAAGGAAAACCAAATAATGAATTCAGGTGTGATAGGAAGGCTTCCGGTGATAATGCCCTCTAACCAGCTGCCATCCCAGAGCTAAAGATCAGGACTAGATCTAGATAACTGGATGAGCTTTTCTTCTGAGACACATGAAAAGGACCCCTGGAGTGCATTCACACACACACACACACACATACACATACACACAAATGAGCGCTTGCCAAGCACGTGTGAGACATTGGGTTCGATCCTCAGCACCACATAAAAATAAACAAATAAAATAAAGACATGCTGTCCACTACAACTACAAGAATTCAAAAAAAATGAAGAAGAAGGTTGGCTGCAAAACACCAAGTGTTTAAATATGGGGGGGGGAGAGTATCGTGATTTTTGACTGAGATCTCATTCCTCACTGTCTTCACTCACTTACCTTTACCTGAGATAAATAAGATGACTATTTTGATGTGTTTACCTCTCATATCATACCTCCCTCTACCTCACCCCATTCCCCCAAGAAGATTAATCCACTAGTGGAGGTTTATCCTCTAATAGGAAAGAAAAAATATCTTTTAATATAAAAGCCCCTTAGAGAAACCAGAAAAGTAACTCCCTAGAACTTCACAGACTACTGCAGTCCACTAAGACTGTGATGGCTACGGAGATGAGTGTGGGAGTGCCGCACAGATCCATTCTGTATCTGATACACATCTGACACATCATATTAGTGGACTTCATTCAAAAGGCTGCACTTGGTTTTCATTCAGATATCATTTTTATTCTCAAAGTAAAAAGTAACTGACAGGGAGTGTGCCAAGTTTATTATGATAATCAGGTGCCCTTCAGTCAGTGATCAAGAAATACTAACATAAATGCCCACGTGCTGCATTATCTTCGCCCTTGTATTAATTGCCTTCTTCCTTCCAAAGCATGGCTCTTGAAACTTTGTCCTTATTTTAAATCATGTTTAGTGTAAGTGTATGACTTTTATTATAGTCTCTAGATAACACTTTGGAATTCAGAAAGAAGGGAAATAGAGGGCAAGAACAAATGCAGTGACGGAATCAAAGAGAACTAATCATCAGTACTCTTGCCAGATGAAATGTAAATGTATTTCTAGTAAGTTTCAAATCTTACAAGTGACATTCTTATTCTAAAATCTTATTTGTTGTTTCTCTGAAAATTCAAATTTAACTGAGCAACATGTACATTTATTTGAATCTGGCAATCCAAGGGAATTTTCCAGCTCTTCCTCTCCTGAAGCTACAAAGTCACACAAACACGAACATAGAGTTAATATACCTGAGACTCTGAGTCAAGCCACAAAAAGTTAAAAAAAAAACCATTCAGTGTTCAGTGCTATATATATTCTTAAATTTAAAAATCCAAGAGTCAAACCTTTGTTGGTGGCTGGTCAGGGATACAGTTTATCCGTTCAGATTCAGTTACCACTGGGCATTCAGTAGAATTAGGGGTGATACTTGTGGTCCCAGGATCTGGGGCTATCCCAAAAGCAAACATAAAATGACCATCACACAGACATAGCAGTATCACAAACATTCAAGCATTCAAAGGCCTCGCTGTTCCCAATACTTGCAATCGTATTCATTCCACTACTGACTGGACTTACTCTGGTATCCTCAACAGTTATGCATTTTCACTTTATAAAACATTTCTTTGTTCTTGCTGACTGTATTTACCTCTACTATGATGGCATCATCTTCTTCTACCCTTCTGCCCCTCCCCTATAAGAGAGTATATGCAAAACAAAGAACTACACCATTAGATCTGAAGTTCATAAAAGTAGGAACCAACTTCCCTTTAGTCTAAGGGTCAGCAAACTATAGCCTGCAAACCAAATCAGGTTAAAGTCTGTTTTTTGAATGAAGTATTGCTGAAACTGTCACACTCCTTTGTTTATAGCTGCTTTTAGGCTACAATGGCAGCACTGAGTAATAATGACAGGAGATGGCATGGCCAACAAAATCTAAAATATTTACTATCTGGTCCTTCACAGGAAAGTCTGCTCTGGTCCTTTATTCCTACCCCCAGGAGCTGGTACACACTGAACATGTACAGTTCCATAATAATAATCCACCTCAATTTAGAGAACACATCTGAGCAATGTCAGTCTCCTGCAAATACAAAGTATCATATGGAAAAAAAAAAATGTAAGGGGAACCCACCAATCTAGAAACTGGCAGCTAGAACCTGTGCCAGAGTTGAAACCTTTGATCTCAGATTTAAAGATAGGTAATAGAAAAGACACTTTTATTGCATTCTAAAATAAAGAAATTAGCTTTCTTTGAGGCAATCTGCAATAAATTAATAATGACATTAAGACACAATAATGCTGTTTTTCATTGTTTTTTTTTCACTAGGATTTCCAATTCAAATGTGGTGGATTAAATGAACTCCATATTTTAACCAATTTCGGCATAAGGGTTTTAGTTACACTTTCAGATTCATAGAATTAAACAAACTCTATCCAGTCTAGTATTCCAGCTATAGCTGGGGGTGAGGCAGGAGACAGAGAAGGTTTTTCTCTAGCTACGGGTTGACCTTCATTGCCTGGTTGCCCTAAGAAGTTGCTCCTAGATAAACAAGATGGGAAATCCTGGTTAGTTCAGCACAATCCAGACCATCTTTGGGGATATAACAATGTAATGAACTTTTATTAAGATGGCTTGGGCAGGATTTTTTAAGGAACCAAACAGGCATAAAATATTTTGATTACATACTTATTTGATCCTCTTTCACACAGTATATTATTCACTATCTCTAACAGAATCAGAATTCTTCAAAAAAATTCAGCAAATATATTTTAAGTGTCAGTTGTGAAATTTAACCCAGTGCACTAATTAAATTGGGAAATTAAGGTTTCAGAACTTAAGCCTGTAAGGAAAAGCTACTGAGCTTCCACAGTATTAGCTAGATGTTCCCCCAAACACATACCATACCTGCACACATGTAGGTATACACACACACTCTCACACCAATGAATACAAATGCATTGCTTCCCTACCATTGATGATGGTTTTACTTTGATAAGAGAAAATAAATGGAGGGAAAGCCCAGAGTTACTTGTTACCTTTTGATTCCGTAGAACCTGTTGCTAAAAGCACAATTAAAACAACAGCGATGATGAACACTGCAAGCAGAAGGACACTAAGGATAATCTCCAAAGTAGTGAATTTTTTCAATTTATTTCTTGCCATCTATAAAAGGAATGAAAATAATTTTAGATTTAGTAATTTTATAATTATAATTTTATCATTTAATTTATAAATTTATAGTTTTAGATTTAACAAATTTAGATTTGTATACATACCTAGCAGTTTGTTAATGGAAAAGCTCAAATTTATATAATGAATAATATAACAAAACTCCAAGTACCCATCAACTGAATTTTAAAAATCATCAATTCATAATCAATCTCATTTTGTCTTTATTCCTACTTACTTGCCTCCCTAATTCTAGATTATTTTGAAGAAAATCCTAGATTTCAGAAATTTTATCTGAAAATATTTCAATGTTTAAAAGATAAGAACTTTTATAAGACAAGTAAAATACTATGATCACACCTAAAATGTTTTTGCAATATTTTGTAAGAATTCCTTAATGTCATCAAATATATAGTCAATTTTGAAATTCACCTCATTGTCTGATAAACTGTTAAAGTCTGCTCGTTTTATCCTCATAAGGATACAAGTAAGATTTATACATTGCAATTGGTTTATGTCTTGGTCATTTTTAGTCAATAAGCTTTGTTCTGTAGTTTTCCCCCACAATCTGGGATTTTTAATTGCATCTGCATTAATGCTAATGTGTTTCTCTGCTCTTTTAGATATGAAGTTTTGATCAGATTCAGGTTTGATTGTTTAGTAGCAATGGTACATAGATGATATAGCATCTTCTAGCAGGAGACAAAAAAAAATCTAGTGATGATTCTCTTTTGATGATGTTTTTCCCTGTGATGCTGTAATTCTTTCATTCTTTCTTTGCTTATTAGATAAAATATTTCTATAAATAGAAGTCTACCCTATTATTCAGTTCATAAAGATGCTGAAATTCTTTCATTCTTTATTTGTTAGAATATTTCAATAAACAAAATTTTCCCTATAATTTGGTAATAAAGATGCAGTTCACAAGGAACTGGTAGCATGTTGAATTCTTCATTTACTGGTTTTCAAAATAAGGAGTTGTTTTCCTAGCATCTTGTAAAGGGGAACAATGACTTGTTTTTAAGCATCCTCACGAAACCATGAATTTAAACATATTTGATCTGCATTAATCCACTGATAATATTAATTCTAATATCTTACAGCTTTGTCCAGCAGCAGCCTCTTTAAGTCGGTCCTAAACCCTGTTGGTATAACCCTAAGAGTCTTTGCTAGTTTTCTTCCTTTCTGCACAACACAATCACCTAGGCTCATCTTGTACATTTCCAGCCCACTAATCTGAAATTAAACATCTGTAAAGAGTCATGGTCCCTTTTAGTGGGAAGAGCATTTAGAAACCATAGCTTAGATGAGAACTGATGAGATTAACCCAGAATTTTAGAACTGCAAACACTTTATGTATCATCTTATTAACCACAAGTTGCCTCTTAAGGTCCTCTAAGGAATCTTGGAGGATTTTCAGTTTCCAAGAAAAATATAAAATATAAAAACATTTAATTGTTTCCATGAGTTGAATAGATATTTCCTTCCAAATGCATATGGTTCCTAATGCCCAGTGTGAGAGTATTAAGAGGCAGAGGCTTTGGAAAGGGATTATCAGGAGAGCTCGATTCTCATGCTACTCAATGGAGTACACAGAGGAGTGGCGGATGTATTCAGTTAATCACTGTCCTTATCAACTTGCTCTGATATGATCTCCTTATCTGCTGTATGCTTTATGGCCCCACGTGTTAGGTGGCTGATACTTTACCTGACATTCAGGTGCACAGAGCTAAGAAGAAGATCCATGAGCAGCAATCTTGCTTACTCAAGGCCTACTTTCTTCCCTACCCACCCACCACTCCTTCCCTAGGTTGAATAGATTTACAAGACACATTCCTTTGCCCTTCCTTCTCCCCTCAGGAATTAATTTATGACCCCTAACTTAGACACTGTTCGTCTTCTATCTCATCTCCAGTCTCTCAATGTGTCCTCCATTATTCTTCTCAGGAAGAAGCAGTCTTCTTCAGTTTTTTTTTTTTGCCCACAGATTCAATGACAAAAGGATTTGCTTCTCATAAATTAATAAGAAATTGCTGTTAGTCAATGTAATTCACTGTTACTTTAGGAAATGGAGCTGAAGGCTACCCTTCTCTATAGTAAAGATTGCCTTCTGTTTTCTAAAATAAATTGCCCCAACTCTAATCTTTCTTACCTAGACTGTTTCCATTACCTCACATTCTCAAAGGCTTTATAAGAAATTTCACAATATTGATCTTGCTTGCAAAATTCCATAAAGATTAATGGTCTTCCACACTTGATAAAATTAAATTAATTAATAAGGCAAAGGGTAACCTTATTATCACTGACAAGGAAAGGAGTTATCAAAATGCCCATCCAAGAGATTATCTCTTTGTCTCTCTCTTTGGTGAGTGCTAATAGTTGTGAGACGGCAAATTGTTCATTACACTAATATCTTAAAATTTTCCAAATGTTTATACATACTATGTTTGACACTATGAAGAAACACCCATGCATTTCTGGTCAAACAATAAACATCATCTGCTCAATGAAGTCTCGGCAAAAATTTAAAATTACTCACGCCTATAATCCAGTTATTTCATTTATAGAAATTTATCCCATAAATACACGAGTACACTTGGAAATCAGTGTAAATTGTTTTATTTGTAGCATTACATCTATCAGAAAAACTGAGGACAGAGGATACACCCATAGAGAGGGCACTGAGTAAATATAAAATAAAATTCAGTATTATTTAAAATAATGACAGCAAGTTTTTTTTTTTTAAGTTCAAAAATTCTTTGCTACTCCTTCCATTCTTGAAGGGTAGGCTGGATTTAGTCACTCAGAAAGGATGGCTTCTGATTTCTAAGACTAGGTTATAAAAGTCCTTGAAGCTTCTTTCTGCTCTTTTTCTTGGATCATTTCTTAATGAAACCAGTTTGCCATGGCATCATAACACTGAAAGAGGCCCGTGGGAATTTCCAACAACATGTACAGAAATGAGGCCTTCTGCCCAGAACCATCTTGAAAGCCAATCCTTCATCCCCAATCAAGCCTTCACATGACTATGGTCAATGGATGATCCCTTGGCTAGAACTTCATGAGACCCACTGCCAAATTTCTGACCCACAGATGCTGGGTGATAATAAATGTTGGTTTTTAGCTACAAAATTTACAGTAATATGTTGCCAAAGGTAGATAACTAAATACAAAGGTAAATATGATTTTTTAAATAAAACATCATTGGCATGTTTTAAAAATCTGCTTGTCTCTAATCAAAAGACAAGCTTCATATATTCAAATATGGTGGCCTGCTCTATAGAACCATATGTATGTACATATTAGTATGTATTTTCTAAGTGTACCAACGAAATACTTTCTTAAACCTTAAAAGAAAAACAAAACAAAGAAACAAACATCTGTCCAGCATTACCTGATTCACCTTCCTTTCTGCATTACAGGGAATGTGATGAGGAAGCCCACTATCTCAATTAGGAATACAATTTAAGAAAACAAGATCAAGGGGCTGGGGTTGTGGCTCAGCAGTAGAGCGCTTGCCTCACATGTGCGAGACCCTGAGTTCGATCCTCAGCACCACATAAAAAAATAAGTGAAATAAAGGTATTGTGTCCAACTACAACTGAAAATACATATTAAAAAAAAGAAAGAAAACAAGATCAAGAAAAATGGCAAGGGTAACTTTTTAAAAGGAGTAGTTTAAATAGTGTTAGATGCTTCCCCCCCCCAAAAAAATTGTCATTAAAAATTCATACTTGACAATCTATCATTAGTCTTTGAATGTTCTTTTTGTTTAACAAGCATATAACTGTAGAATGTTAATGCTAAAGCTAATCATAGTTGACAATGATTGCACAAATATGCTAAGAAGTTTCCATAATTTGTAATACACAATCCTCATAACAACCCCAAATGAGTTACTGCTAGCATTTCTGAATTCAGATGAGGACATTAAGCTTCAGAAAGGTCAAATAACCTGCCTAATATTATAGAGTTGATAAGGAAGTTACAATTTGAACATGTGCCCTTTGGACTCCACAGCCAGAGCTTTTAACCATTGCTCTGTATTCTCTGCCACAATGCCCCACAGTATATACCAGCATAGGCTTTTGCGAGATTATAGTTTTACATTGCAGCATACAGCTCATTAACCAAGTACTTGGATTGTACATGGTACTAGACTAGGTGCTTACATACATTATTTTGTTTAATGCTCACAACCAACTTACCAACAAGGATTCTTCAATTTTACAAATGAATAAACTGAGCCTCATAGAGGCTAGGTTGCTCAAAGTCCAGAATTCATTAGTAGCAGAGCCAGGCTTCAAACCAGGCAAAGTGAATTGTTCTTAAGGCCAATGTCACACCATCTCCTACTATGTGATGCAAATATAGAAAATATATTATTCATTATCCTTGAATAATAAAGGTTTATAAATAAGGGAGGTAGGAGATGTGAAAAATGCTTGTATCCAAAGACAACTATTAATTGCAAAGCCTTATGGAAACCAAAGGAAACAAAAACTCCACATTGAATTTTCACTGCAGCTAGGGGTTTAAAATGTTCTGAAATCACCACGAGTAGTAATCCATTTTAAGTTTAAGTTTATGGCCCACAGCACTGTTTTACATTCTCTACGGAGCCAAGAAGAATAAGTTACTGATGTGCCCCATTTCTCAGATGTACTTATCATCAGGTTATCAAAGCTACAAAACAGAAATCTACTTGCAGTTTGTTGGTTCATTCAATTTTCTATTAAGCACCTATATTATGCAAAGCATTTTTCTGGAGCTGGTTATGCAACACTGAATGAAACAGAGAAAAGTCTCTGTCTTCATTTATGTTCTTATGGATACAAAGGAGAGACAACAAACAAAATAAATAAATATACAGTAGATCCAACTGTGTAACAGCTATGAATCAGAAGTAAAAGATAGAGAGTGGGGCATGGGGTTGCAATTTTAAACCAGTTGGTCAGGGAAAATCTCACCAAAAAAAAGTGACATTTCTCATA